CCCGGATAAGCGGAGGAAGATGGATGGATGGATGGATGGATGGATGGATGGATGGATGGGTGGATGGATGGAGGTTGAAGTTTATTCAGGTCCTGTAGCAGCAAAACATTCCCAAATCATTAGGGTCGCACCACTGTGTTTTTCAGGTTTTTTAGCTGATAAGCTTTTGTAAACACTTTTTTCTTTGTCTCTGGTCAAACATATTAGCCTATTTAAGGACATTGACTGGAAATCATCTCTATTTATTTATTTCATTCTATTTCACTTGCAGTGTTTATAAGCTAGGCTATAGTGCCAACTTTTATTAATGAACTATATTTGTATCTGTTTACTATTCTAAACAAGTCATACTTATTTAATCTTTACCTATCATAATAATATAGACATTTTGATAGTGTTTTAGCATTTCATTTAGGGATTCACTTCCTTACAAATGTGCAGTAGAGATAATCTGTTTTAAGTTGTAAAAAAATCTTTTAGGCTGTTAAAAGATTCAAAATAGTTTTTTAAGCTTGTTTAAGGACTTGTTTTCTCCTTCTTTCCTGCTTCATTGTTTTCTCTTTTTTACAGTATGCTTTATTTAATAAACAGACATGATGTATTGGTACTGCAGAATGCCTAATGCTAAATTTTGGGTCCTATCGCTACCTAGTAAGAAAGAGATGATTGAACTGTATTTTTTTGTTTTGCTGAATAAAAGTAGAACTGACGATGTTCAGATATTTGAGCTCTGAATCAGAGGGCTAGAATTTCTTTCAGTGCTTGACGAGTGTTTTAGCTGTAACTTGTCAGACCTTTGAATAAATCAGGGAAACCAGAGCTCATCTATGCCACCAAATCATCATAAAATGATGATTCAAAGAAATCACACACGTGATTTCCACTCCATCAAAACACATGTAAGAAGTTAATTTTATGCGTTAGACCTATTTACTGTGTCTCTTTTTGGGGACTGAGCTTGTAAAAATACAGGTTTTATATAACTGATCAAATTATTTAATACATCCTACATCTTTAAGACTATTTTCTAAAAGACAATCATGAAAAAAGCAACTATTAGACCACACTATTTCCTACAATCCCTTGTGTTAGTTATATAAACTGTGTAGAATGCAAAATATAAAAAAATGGGTGTTCTGATTCTTTTCTTTACTTTGTATCTCTTCTGTTGAGTGTATTTGTTGATCATGAACGTTAAATATGTAGCAATATTAGTGACATTACATAAAGATAGTTTTAAATCAATCTTTTTACATGAAAACCCTTTTCTTTACCCTTGCATTATATTTTCTGGTCATATTTTCTCATAGTTAGGGCTTCCAAAGACACAGTAGATTTATTTAGAAATATTAAATAGGCATCTTGCAGCATCTTCGCTCAAGTTTTTTAAGATTTTGTGGTTTTTAAGATTTTTTTGTCATGTGTCCAACAGTTAGAAATTATACAACTATTAGAATGCAAGTCTTCATGCAGTTTACTTGAAAATCTAATGAGAAGCTTTTTTTGTGTTTCATGTCTGTAAATATCCTACTTTATGCTCTGTTCTCTTCTCTGGATTTATTTTTTATTTTCCTTCTGCAGTTACCCTTCCTGGTGCCCTTCTAGCTCCGGTTTCTTCCACATCTGCAACTCGTCGCTCCTCGTTCAACTCCTCCTCCTCGACCTCCATGCAGACCTCATACCGACTGCCAAATCCCCTGCCACCCCTCCCTGTCCGAAAGGGTGTCCGAGGTCGCCGTCCCAAATCACAGACCATTGCTTTGTTGAAAGCAGCGGCTGAGGCGGCAGCAGCAGCAGCAATTAATGGAGCACCTCAGAGCCCAGTGACTGAGACGTCGCTGGCCCCCAGACCACACAAGAAGAGAGGGCCCAAGCCGAAAGGCAAGGTGAGATGTCACAATTAACTTAAACTATCTTGCAATGGAAAAAAACTACCCTGTCATATTTATTATTTGTATTTGTTTATTTTCTTTTTCTTTTCTGTAAAGTGACCTTGAGTATCTAGAAAGGTGCTGTTAATTAAAATATATTATTATTATTGCATTCTTGCAGAGATGAAGGTGCAAAGTCTTATCTGTGTAGGTGTGTGTAAAATCTGCATCGCCATTCATGTTTAGAAAAGTTCAAGTATACCAATAATCACCAATAAGGTGCATTTTAAAGCTCAGAGATTTAATCAGAGGTGTTTGTTTGCCTTTTGCTCCAGAAGAAGCCTCTGATGGGAGAATCTCCAGGTTCATCACCAGCTCCAACTCCGCCCCCAGAGACCAAACTGAACACCAGCCACGTCTCTATGGACAGCAACCTCAGCAATGGCTCAAATGTAATTTGCACAGGTAAATCTCAAATATTGTTAACCCCAGTCAAAGCTTTTTTGTTAGAAATGTAGTTTTAAACCCCTGGTTTGTTCTCCTGTATCTAAAGTCTGTTACCTTTACCTAAAGAAATAGGCAACAGAAATAAAGTTTACCTTGAACTCTTCGTGTTCCATTTAAAAAAAATAAAAGCATCCCTTAGCCACATAGTGTTTTTTTTTTTTTTTTTTTTTTTTAATGCTATATTTTGAAATAATGCATGGTGGTGTCTTAAACAGCAACTGGCAACTTGGGTTCCTTTTTTTGGTGCTATGATAGACCTAAAACCGAACCATAGCCAACGTGTGGACATTGGATCAATTTAGTTCAAAATGTTTAAAAATAAAATACTAAAAAAAATAAAATAAAAATCTACAGTTCATCTCCACTTTAGGACCAATCACAGTTCTGAAAGTCTCTCTTATGACCTCTGCAGTAAACCCAAGGTGAGATATCAACTGAAAATAGACAGTCAGTCAGCAGCACAGTCTGTTTTAGAGGCTATAAGTGAGATAGGGATGCACAGATTACAGGTTTCTGGCTGATTCTCAATCTTTAATATTGCCGATTTTGACCAATAGAGATTTATTTTATAACTGTAACTGTCAGATATAACACAAGATATTTATATCTTATCTTACTGAAAAACAATCATTGCACATGAAACAATAAAAACCTCTGAAATAACTGCTTCCGAATATCAATGAAAGTTTAAGGCATTGACAGTGCGTAGCTTTTAGGCATTTGCAGAGGCAAATCAGATTAGTGGAAAAGATCCGTTTCACATCTAAGTGTTGGCCGATCACTGATCTCTCAATATTAGAAAACTCAAGGCCGATTGGTCGACCTATAATTTGGTGCAACCCTTTTATTTATTTATTTTTTTTATTAAATCAACATAGATGACAACACAGGATACATTTACAGAGATAATATACCAACCCAAAAGCCTCCCTCCCACACTCCCTCCCCTCACCCCCTCACACTCATTCATTCACCCATTCATTCGTCCACAAATGACATTTTCAGAATAAATATTTGAGAACTTCCATTTTCTTTCCAGGGAAAAGAATTGAAGAGAGAGCCTATTCTTAATAGTTATATAATAATATAATAGTTATATTTTCTGGCTTCATTATCAGTTTCAACCATATACCTTTCTGAAGTCAAAAAATGCTGAATAAATGTTGTAAAGAAATTAATAGTAAGTGAAAATCTATTTTTGGCTTTAAAGATAACATTTTTACCAAGTACAATGATTAAATTAACTAAGTTGTGACTGTTGATAAACTCTCCCAGTAAAACAGAAACCACAGCAAGCCTTTTAAACAGACCAATCCTTAAACACATTTTTTCAACTTCCACCCAAAATACACAAAAGACACAATATGACAATACCAAAACAAATGCAGGGTGGATTTAGACTCCTGATAACAGAAACGACAATCATCTGACTCTGTCATATTCCATAACTTTAATATTTTTCCAGTGGGTAAGAAATTATATATGATTTAAATTTGAAAATAACGATTTTGCACATCAACAGTGGTTTTATAGATTTGTTTAAATATTTTATCCCATGGCAGCAGTCCTCACATTTTCCATATTTGTTATATGGGGAAACCTTCAGTGATTTTTTTTATTTATTTAATAAAATTGATATATTTTCTATTTATTTTAATTCCCTTTTGCCAATTAGAGTTTCTTATTGGAGGTTTACACACATATAGTTTATTAGTTCCATTGTTTAATATTTTTTTTCCATTTTCTTCCAATTACAAAAAAGTTTGAACAAGCATCACCGTACATAGCTCTAAATTCCTCACACTCCATAAGTCTACCGTTCTCATTAATTATGTCATTAACAAAGATAACTCCTCTTTCGAACATATTTTTCCAAAAAAAATGGCTTTCCATCTATTAGTATATTGGAATTCATCCATATTAGCTGCTGCAAAATGTCATCTCTTTTTCTGGCACATAAGCTTGAAAACACCACCATGAATGGATTATTTCCTTTATGAACCCTGGGATGTTCCCTAGCAGACTTAGATACGATCTTTAAATGATTGCGATGGACTGAGTTTAACAAATGGAACAATAAGGTTTTTGTTCAGGACCAGAGGTATTTAAAAAAAAATATATATATATATATATACATTTGACAAATTAAGTGTACTTTGAAGCTACTGTATCTAATTTTACCAAAGATGGGACTTATTTATATTTAGGTCTTATTTTAGTGACAAAGATAATTATCAATATGAAATGTACATAAAAGCAGTATTCACTGTAATTCTTGCCAAATATAAAAATGTGTTTTGATCTGAATAAAGCAGTGCTTAATACCTGGCTAATATGGTATGATTTGCCATTTACTTAAGCATGGTGGTGGCAGCAATGTTCTGATGTGACAGATTGAGAGGGCTAAAGAGGATGTAAAAGAGGAAAGAAAAAATAAAACTCAATGCCAGAATGTCAATTTTTACTTTGTTTTTCTTCTTCTCTGATCTTTATCTCGGGTTGTGTCTCTTCAGTGTGTGTCTATGTAAACAAGCATGGCAACTATGGCCCACATCTGGATCGAAAACTGGTCCAGCAGCTGCCGGATCACTTTGGTCCAGCTCCAGTCAACGCAGTGCTTCAGCAGGCTGTTCAGGCCTGTGTGGACTGTACATACCAGCCCTCTGTGCTGTTATCCTTTCTACAGAGCCAGTCCCACTCTGGAGGGGAGGTCATTAGAGGTAAATTCAGTGAAATACATATTATTTTATGCTAAGCTAAAGAAACCATGCCTTTACTTTCATAGTATCCCCAACTTATTTATCTACATGTAAGTAATAATCAAAGAAATCTGTTATAAAAATGTTGAAGCAGTTCTGTCTATTTTAAGTAAATGCGCATTATTGTTAGAAAGGTAATGCATATTTATAAGTAAGATAATAAAATATTGTGTCTGTGGCAGTAGTCGATGTCAGAGCTGTTTCTGTAATCTGAATTGACGTGTGTCTAACCTGGTTTGGGATCCTTGGATTCAGTTTTCCTCCAGGGAAAACTGTGAGTGGTATTAGGAGGGGGCGGGCTTTAATTTGGCTTGGCTTGGGTGGGAGGGCGTCATGCCGTGTGGAACTGGGTGGAAAACTAACATCTTATAAAGGGAGGGTGCTAACCCTGAACCATCTGCTGTTTTGTTTAGCTGTGAATGCATAGCAAGCATGTGTGTGTGTGGGTGTTTGTGTGTGTGTGTGTGTGTGTGTGTGTGTGTGTGTGTGTGTGTGTGTGTGTGTGTGTGTGTGTGTTATGCGCACACAGCAATTGGTTTTCTTCTCTGCTTTTAGTTTGTTCAGAGCATGGTATTCGCTATGTGAAGCTGCCCTCTGCATCCAGTGCCTCGTCTGTGCTGCGGTTCCTGGAAAACATGTGCCAACACCTGGAGAGTGACACCCTTTTCAGCTCACAGCCATTCAACCCCTACACCAACAACACACGTTTCTACAACAGAACTAAATCAGGTGGGAAGAAAAATATTTAAAAAATATGCATGGGTAATGGTTTTTGTCTTAAATCTTACCTAAGAATATAATTCTACTTATTCAAAAGCTTACACTCTCACCTTAAATATCTCAAAAGTACATTTGTGTTCATTTCTCAGTTGATTGTTTTTGCCAAGCTTTGAGGCACATGATTGTGAACCAATGTTTCTTTTAGGTTTCAGTGTGTTAAGTAGCGAATGAGAACTCAATGTGTCTGCTAAAAAAAGTGAAAAAAGACTCCAAGCCATTATTTAAGGTCTGTTGCCTTTTTTTAATCTCCAAATGATTAAGCAGATTTTAATACAAATACAGACTTGGAAGAAGAAAGAAAGCCAAACCTAATAGCAAAACCTTACGATAAATATCATGTTCCATTATCCTTAAAGATTGCAGTATCTTATAGTGATGGGTTAGTGAAGCATTTTTAAGTGTTTCAACACATTGCCAAACTGTATTGATACTGTCTTACAGAGTACTGACACCTGCTGGAACTTTAAAGACACTACAGGCAGCTTATTTGACAGACTAAACTGAATTGATTTGATGACCTAGTACAATGATACAATTTAAGTTATTGTAGGTTATATTGTATTATTTCATATCTGTTTAAATTGGAAATATCTTGGATATTTTTAGGTGCAGCCAATAAATAATGTAAACGTATATCATAATGTGAACATTTAGGGGAAAATGTGAATTAGGATGCTTGTCAACTAGGATTTTAAATCATATTTTTAAATCAAAAAGTACAATAAAAACAATAAACAAACTAAGAGTCAATTTGAAAAAGTTAAGTGATGTGGGAAAGTATGACACAACGAGAAAAATTCAAAATAAAAACGCAACGGTTGAAACTGCCTATTGCTTTTAGGCTGCTCCAAAATTCTTGATTATTTTAATGACAAACCACAAAAGATGATGCATTTTTTTTTAGCAGATGCATCATGTTGACATATACGTTTTTTAACACAGTTTAGTGTGTCAGTCAGTTAGAAAACACAGATGACATGCGCACCGATAGTGTTTTGCTCTATGGTCTCGATGCATGCACCAACGCATCAATCACTAAATTCTTACCTCTTTTAGGTCACTCCAAAATATCATGGGACTAGCAGAAACATGGTTGAAGCAGATCACTGCTGAATTGTACAGCAGCCTAACAGCAAAAATTTTATCAAGTTCAGACAAGCCCTCTAAATTCCATTTCTTAATATTATCTCTTAGTTGTGCTGTTTCTAATTTCTGAAGTGTGTTCAGGTCATCCTCAAAAAAGTTCAATTAAGCCAATTAATTATTTTACTTTTAAATAATTCTAAACTAACTTTCTAGCACCAACATGAAATCATCATAGTTCATTTTATCTGTCAACATGTCTGTTAACATGAGTAAAAAGTGGTCTAATGCCTGCATGTGTATTAGGGCCATTTGTAAAAATCCTTATTTTGTTTAAGTGTATCAGCTAATGAAAGTGTTGGAAATAAGGACCATTCAGTTGTATCAGCTATAGATAGAGAAGAACTGAAACTAAACTGAATTAAGCTGTTGATTTGGCTGCTAATCAGTAATAATAATGTTATTGTTAAAGATGAAAGAAAAACATAATTGTGAAGTTTAACATGAACAGAGAGGTATACCCTGACGCATGCTGACCCATCAAATCCCTACAAAGACCAGCTGCATATCTATGCATAGCAGCAATGCTGACACAAACACACAGCAGCCACCATGCTCTCCCCTTGGAGGAGGCATAATGTGGCTGTTGTCTACAAACACCACCCCCATACATGAACACAGTCGTGGTTCTGTATGGAGACTGCTGTCTTTCTTTATTTAATAAGGACCTTGTGCCCGTTTCCTTTGACACCCCTTTCTGTGCCCTAAACCTCATAATAACCCCAAACCTAACCATTACCAGTTCATATCTAACTTTAACCTTTACTCGATTAGCTCTTAACCTAACCCTAACTCACTTTGACACTCCACTCTCCACTCTGATGCCAAAACATGAGCACACTAGCTACAACATATATTTATATGCATTATTATTTTCCTTTTGTATAAATCTTTTTTATCTTTATTTGAGGTTCAAGGAATATTTACATTTACCTCTCTTAAATTAGAACCACTGTCTGTCACGGAGAATGGCGTTTCCAATGACAATCCATCCAAGGACCCCACACCTACCCCTCGGCCCCTCCACAACACACTGGACTACAGATCAGCAAAGAGGGAGCGGCCGTGTTATCCTGGGCACACAAAAACACCACCACCACCCCTCCGACGAGTCAGCTCCAACCCCACTGAGTTTGGCCCCTTAAATACACACAGACGAGTGGAGGGTATGATAACAGTTTCACAAAACTCAGCTAGTCTAAAAAAAGAGTTGAATTGAGACTCTTTTAATCAGTTTTATATATATATATATATATATATATATATATATATATATATTTTTTTTTTTTTAAGATCTGTTTGCATCAGAACACACGTCAGTCCTGTTGCTAATATGTGAACAAAATTATATAAAAAAAAATCAATTAACTTATGCAATTCATGTTTTCTTCCTCTCCTATGTACATCTATTGATACCCATTAGTGATGCAGGAGGGATGTCAATTTAATTAGGCTTTTCTCTGTTTTGTAAACATTGTACAACAGCTAGCTCAACAACAGGTCCCGATCACATGAAACAGGACAGGGAGACTACAGGGAACAACGCTTCCTCCTGGTCAGTTGATGATGTCATCAGGTTTGTCCAAGAGGCGGATCCACAAACCTTGGGTCCACATGTCGACCTGTTTAGGAAACATGTGAGTATTACACCTACATATGTACTGGCTGTAGGTGCTCAAATGAATAATACCATCTGCATGTTTTCTCTTTAGATCATCCATAGTCCTTGCTCGTCTCCTTGCTCTTGAGCTTCTGTTCTCTTCTTTTATCAAAGAATTTAGGTCTGGAGTCCACTGTTGATTTTTTTAATTTTTTTTCCAGTGAAGTCTTTCTTGTTGATTCGGTTATATATTCTGTATCATCATCCTTTTGGTTCTGAGAGATCAAATGATGACCCATTTGAAGTTTTCTGGTAGTCTACCATTCAGTCTACTGGTATAATAAAGTCATGCTCTCTAGCAAGACTTAACAAGCCTTTGCAAGAGAAAAAAAAAAACCCTCAGAGTATAGAAAAAAAATATACATGAACTGCAATTTTTTCCTTTATTTGACACAAAGTCTATCTAGGTTTTGCTGCAAAAGCTCTCAGTCTTGGTAGCATTTGAACAAAAAGAGGCAGTCCATGTTTAAGCCTTTAGCTCAACTTTCTTTGCATGTTAGTTAGGGTCAGACATAAAAAACAGCCGGCATGTAGATAGTGTCTGATGGAGTTAATGAAGACTTGTTGATCTCAAGTTGCCACTTTCTTGCTTGTAGATTTTTGGGGGGGATTTTTTTATATTTCACCCCTGTCTTCGTCCTGGTCGACTCAACAGAAATGGACCCCTATTCAGGTTCCCACACATGTGGGTTAATCACATGGGACATTATGTTCGCTGATTTTTAAACCTAATAAAGAGAAAAGGAATTACAAATGACAGTCTCTAAAAAAAGATCTTAAGAAAGAAGAAGTAAACAATTAGCATATATTTTAAAGAGATTATCAAGGTTTGCATCACTTGTGTTTGACTTAAACATTTTTTTGTTGGGAGGGTTTATTTTCTCTTTGTATAAATCTAGATTTTCTTATGTTTAATGTTTTCTTCTACAGATAAAGAATAATTTCTTCTAAAGCTTTTTTAACTACTTTAGCATATTTTTTTTCATTTAATTTCTCATCTTAATTGGTGGCAGTACTAGTAAAGTGGATATTTGTGTTTCCTATGAAGTGTCCAGTAACATGACTATTGTGTCTGTGAAGTTTGAAAAGGAAGCATTTATCTGTGTTTGAACCCTTGTAATCCAGAGTCTGCTGTCACGTTAATCTTCCTGCAGGAGATCGACGGCAAGGCTCTGATGTTGCTGCGGAGTGACGTCATTATGAAGTACATGGGACTGAAGCTGGGCCCGGCTCTTAAACTGTGTCATCACATCGAGAAGCTGAGGCAGAGCAAACATTAGATGATGATGATGATGATGATGATGATGATGATGATGATGATGATGATGGAACTGATTTCTCACTGACAACCAAACACTTATCAATCTGCAGGAAATGTAGTCCAGTGCAATAACGTCATCATATAACGACATTGATGTTATGTTCTGGTATGTTCTGGGAATAATGGGTTTTTATTAAAAGGAGAACAGCTTTCATTTTAAGATATTTTAAAGGTGGAAATTGTGAATCCTAGTTTGTCTGAATTTATCTAATTATCTTAAATTACATAAATAAGTTTTTTTTTTTCAAGTAGAATTGACATCAATGTAAGAAATTTAATAAAAACAACTTATTTGTGGCCTTTCAAATTTGGGGGTCGTTACAGTAAGTTAACGGTCTCCCATCTAGTACAACAAATAGACAGAACAATAATAAATAATTAATTCCAAATTTTAAACAGATCTGAATTTGAAAGCTTTCTAAAATACTATCACCTCCCTTGTACAGAGCAAGTTCGTGAAGTGAACAGACATCCTAGCATAGGCATCAGTTTTGACTTATTTTGTTGTTGTTTATTTGCCTTATTTTGAGTAAATGAGCACCATTATTTCTGAGTCCCAATAAATATAATTTTGCATTGCTACTCTTAAGCTGATAAAAAAAAATCTGTACAGAAATAGTAGGCCAGATATGGTGCACAAAGGACTGGAAAGGTTACTCCAGATAGTAAATATGTCATTTCAATGTAGTCAATACGGTTGCTGAAAGTCTGTTATGATGAAATGGTGAAATGTAGCTTCTGCATGCTGCAAGATATATGGGCAGGGATACTAACAGGGACTGAACAACGATAACACCTCAGTTATGGGAATTACAAGGGTTTGATCTTAAAATTGTCTTGTTTGCTTAAGTCAATCGGTAGAGTAAAGTTTTATTGGCAAAGAATATGCATTACAATTAGCAGAGCGGAAACTAGTTTGATTCAGAAAGTGTCAATCTCATATAAAAAACCCCTTCCTGAGTTAAAGACATTCATGCTGGTCAGCTTCCTATTGATTGCCGATACTCATGGAGTCAAACACGCTTAAAACCAAGGCTTCATCGACTGGGATAAGTGTTTTGATATGAACATAAATATCACATCCTTTATAGCAAAAGTTGGCATTGCTGTACAGGTACGGCTCCTGCCTTTGGGACAAAAGAGAAGTAGTTTTGTAAAAAAGTTTAACATGTAGTTTTTTTTATATAATTTTGGACTGTAACTATATGTACCAGCCTGTATCAAGTGTAACCATTTTTTTTTTAGCCTTAATAGTGTTTTGTGTGACATATGCTGGTGAAGATTCTCAGTGATCCAGGTCATAGTCATTCAAAAAAAAAGAAAGTTAAAAACAATCCACTGGACTTTGTTTCCAAGTTTGAAGACATTTCGCTTCCCATACGTGAAGCTTTTTCAATTAAAAATGTCAGAAATAGCATTGAGTTCGACATTTTTTGATGGACTACTGTATAAAACCTTGAAGTCAACACTATTTCTGACATTTTTAATTCAAAAAGCTTCCTGGATGGGAAGCAAAACTTCTTCAAACTTGGAAACAAAATCTAGTGGATTGTTTTTTTAGGAATGTTTTGTGTGACCATAAAAAATCTACCTGCAAGTTAATAATGTGTTTGAGTAAATACACTCTTGTTCAAAGTGTTGATCTGTTTTTGATGGCAGAAATCCTTATTTTCTGAACATTTCAGAATCATTCTCAAACCAAATTGTGTCTGCATTTCACACTGTCTCTCCTGTAGTGCTAACAAGTTGATACTTGAAACCATGTTGCTTTAACGTGAAACTCAGGTTTTAGTGAGGGTCTTAGAAAATTTGTTACATCATAAATATGTTGTGTTCAGTACAACAGCATAATAGTCATTGTTGATTTGTAATGCCAATGTATTGCTCTGTAGCATTTCCTGTGTATTGACAAATTTTCTACTGTATCACAAGCTTATTTGATATGTCTGCTATGCATTCACACAATTAAAACATTTGTATTCATAAACTGGTTTTGTGTAAGGCCAGGATGGAAGCATCTAGCAGTGTTTCTCTAACTTTGTTTTTTCCAATGCCAGTTATCATTTTTATTTTGTGGATTTGGATAGCAATGATCATGGCTACTGTGGAACCACCAGGTCAGTTGCCCCAGAACTGGGATAAATAATGACTAAAAGGTTATTTTTGTGTTTCAGTTGTAATCAGGACAGGTCTTATACTGACCTCTGGAGGCATGTGAATGTTGGTGACTGCTCTGTTCTGTAGCTTGCTGTTGAATTAGATTAATGTCAGATTGCCTGTGCCACTGCACCTGCACATTGGATCTGGGCTGGAGTTGAGCACCTGTGAATGAAATTAGGCTACTTTTTTTTTTTAGAAACACAACTACTAAATGGCATTTTGATCCATAGCCTTTTGAGCTCAAACTCAAACATGTCACACCAGAATGGGTCTACGAAACAACAGATTTGAACCATCAGGCATGTTTAGAAAGCCAAAAGTGCCACAATTCAATAAATGTAGAAGTTCCAAAAATGTATTTTTAAACCTGAAGAAAACAAAACAAACAAAAACACATAAACCCATTAATCCATACATACACTCGCAATACCTATTAGAAATAAGATCTTTTTATGAAAAAGAATTTCATATAAAGAAATTTTCTTTAACTATTTACTGGAAAAAAAACAATACAGTGGAAAATTACTAAAACAAAAAACATTTACCAAGATTCTTTATTTAGACTCAAGGATAAAATTGTTAATATCCCTCATTTAGTGAAAGATTAACACATAATTGTTACAGAAAGAACTTAAATCTGACAAAATTATATAAAAGTAATTGAAAGTCAGGCGTTGCTTTTCAGCCGTGCTTCAACAGAATGATTAAACAAATATAAATCCACGAAATAGGCCTGGACAAAAATTATGGTACCCTTAAATTAATATTTTGTTGCACAACATTATTAGTCACTGCTTCAAGGGATTCTACTAACGGTCAACCAGCCTTTTGTATTGAGGTATATGGCTCAGTCCTCATAAGAAAATTGCTCCAGTTGTCTCAGGTTTGAATGCTGCCTTTTCCAGAGGGAATATATCAGCTCCACCCATAGATGCGCAACGGGATCTAGATCAAGATGGGGGGAACGGTATCTGATGGGCTTCTAAACCCCGTCAGATAGAGTTCCCCCTGTCTAACATGGGGTACGGTATCTGATGGGCTTCTAAACCCTGTCAGATGGCGTTCCCCCTGTCTAACATGGGGGAACAGTATCTGATGGGCTTCTAAACCCCGTCAGATAGCGTTTCCCTCTTCTTAACATGGGGGTTAGGTATCTGATGCAGTGTAAATATCATCAGGCTGCATTATGGGTGTGAAGTTTTTTAATAGGGCGTTTAGATCTGGCAAGTATGCAATTAATAACTGGGGATGTCTAATTCTGAAACACTGTGTGTTTGGGTTGTTATAGATACTGCAACATCTATCCATCCATCCATCCCGATTTGTCCCTTTCTCCATATAGGCTAGCATTTGATCCTTCACGCTCTCCATAGTTCCCCTGTGGTGTGAGCAAAGGGCGGCTGTTACGCGCCTTTAGCGAGCATGCGCGTTTCCTGTCGCCTGCGCGGTGCATTGTGCCGCCTACGCTGTGCTTAGATGCAGGGGAAACTTTATCTGATGGGGAAACACAGCTTGACATAACACTGGTATTTCCATCTGGAAAACGCTGTTCTGCTGCTGGAGTCCTCCTCACTCTCCATTTCTCTGTGTGTGCTGTACTTTAACACCCGCCAGCGGAAACACCCACCTATCCAACTGACAGGCGTAATCTCACTATACATCAGCCAATCTCATCCTCCCCTCTCTCATGACAAGGCGTGCAAGTGTCCTATCGTGAAAAAAAAGGTTCATTGTGCGACCTGACTAACGTAAATTAGTAACACCGTTACTTTCAACGCCATTACTCCCATCACTGCTAGGTATATGACCAAATATGAAAAAATACACCGAAAGTTCTGCGTATACCAGTGTTTTAGGAGATTCTGGGACGTCAGGCAATGTTGGCTAAATCGGCAAGGTGTGACATGGCCCTCAGGCTCAGTGAGTATTAGCATTCATTTTAGAACTCTAACTTAAAGGTATAGTGGAGGATTCTCTTTTTCCAGGTGGAGCATAAAAATATGTGCTGGTCCTAATTGTCAATCATTCTGCTGACATGTTTTTGTAAGGTTGTTCTACGTGCTCATCCCCATTTAGCTATCTTTTTCTGCACATGCGCACTTTCAGCTGTACACGCCGCAGTCCTTTGAAAATGAATTATTTGTGTGACGCGCGGTGGAGGCGGAGTTATGTGACCAACGGGGAGCAAAAAGGTGATCATCTGTCAGAATGGTCAGTTAACTGAGCTCACTATAAAGTCCACTATATAGTCCCCATTCTATGTAGTGATGACAATCGGACACAGTAAGCTTTTATGACCTATGTGAACAGCAACTTTTTAACCGAGCATTCACAAGGAGAAATGGGCTCCTGCATGCTCTCGCATGTGTTTAATAGGCGTTCCCTCTCAGAAGCAGGGGCAGGGTTGTGCATGTGCCTTTTTTTGAAAGTGGAGAGAGTGGGTCTTTTAAAAGATTTGGAAAATCCTCCAATACACCTTTAAGAAACATCACGTTAAGTCTCCGCCTTTGGCCGTTGATGATAGAGGGGGCAGTAGAGAGAAGTGTGGCGGCAGAGAGAGAAGAAGAAGGGGAAGTAGATATAAAAGGGTTTTTTCTGTAAGTGAGCAGCTGCCATCAGTCTGTATTGTTCTTCTTTTGCTTTTTACCTTGCCAAGAGCGGAATAGTTCCAAAGCATTTCCCATCCTCCTTCAACCCGCCAGCAGAGTGGGATCATACGGAAGATTGTTACCAGCAATTCAACCAAGTCAGATATCAGAATGTTCTGGATGTAGAAAAGGTTACAATCAGCAATTGAATTAGAAAGTTTCTTTCTAAGAAAAGACAAACAACACATGTAAAAATATCAATTCTACCTATTTCTTGCTCAAGTAGAGTATTTATTAAGTTTCAATTGTAAAGAGGGGAAAGGAGGTTTACTTTTTGATTCAATGGAATGGAGGGAATGGGGTTTTGGTTCAGTCCCAGAGTCTGACTTGGTTAAGTTGGTCATGTTCAGTCTGGGGAATGACAGTCCACTCATCCAACTGGCAACTCTCAAAGAGACTTGAATTGTTCTGATGCAAACCATGTAAAACATTTTATAAGGTCATATGATGGGGCATCATCATCACAACTTACTTTCATTTCATCAAGTCTCCTGTGGTGTGCTTTCAAATACAAAAACCGGATCACCGCACTACACTCTCCATTTCATGTTTGACTCAGTTCAAACACCTGTTAATCAGAAGCCACAATTAGTTCAGAGCAGCAATTTTCCACTTAATCTATAAAGATATAAGTAATTGCACATGCAACATTTCAGCTGAATCAAACAACAGGAAATGGGTCAGGGGCATTACTAATTTAACGCCCCCATCCTATATATTATTTTTGTTTTCAAATGAAACCTAGGCGGAAGTTCAACTGAAAAAACTGAATTACTTACCCTCATCTGCCTCGGACAGGCCAATCAGCTTTGAAGCACACCTCAATGAAGCCCAATCAGCAACCAGATTTCCTCTTAAAATATCTTCAAATCCACAACTTAGTCTACTACCCAGCAGCAGGATTTGATTCAAATTACCCTGATTCATTGGGAAAGTGAGCTTTCAGACCCTCCTGCACAGCCTCTCACAGCGCAGTCTCATCCTCTGAGACACCTGTTGATCCATGCATGCTGCAGAGATTAGCAGCTCCGCCATGCCCTGCTCCCCTGTCTCCAAACAAGTCTCAGTACTTGAGCCATCAGCAACCAGTTATGTTCACTCTGTGTTCAGCTAGCTGACACTTATTCTCTTCAGTGAGATGTATTGGTTTCAAGGCTCCAGAGTTTTCCTCGTGCATCAGTTCTGCTCTCTCTTCTCTATCAAAAACAGCTAAAATTTCACACATGTGCATCTCAAGCCTACAGCTTCTCATCGTTAATTAAGCTGAGTCCTTTGATCTTCACCCACCGTCTCTCCAACTCCAAGACTCTAGGTTCCCACTAACCTAGTGGTCCAGGTCCCCCGGACCTCGTAAGCTATTCATCCAATCAGCATCTGTCCTGACAGATGCTGATTAATGAAGATGCTGTTTGAGTCTCTGCCAGGCCTGTGCACCAAAGAACGGTTCATTCACACCAAATAAAAACTTTTCCATTTGCTTTTTTTTTCTCTGTGGGAATCTCTCCAGGTTGAAATATAGACCATGACGTTAGTGTGTCATGTGTTTTTCTTTTTTGTTTGTTCTTTTACAAAAGCTTTCCAAAGTTCTAGCATGGAGATTTGAGATTTTTTTTTGAGCAAGGTTTACAAACCATTCTGGATGATTGGTAAAGCAGTCTCCTGAACTCACTCAATGCTTGGAGGGTGGTGGTCCTTTACTGACCAATTATTTGTACACAAATAAATATTGGACTTTTGATTGCCTTACTCTGTTGAATAGGGATTAAATCTGTAAGGGCTTAGAGGAAATGTTAAACTGTTTAGAGTCAGCACTTTAGGGTCCCCTTGAGTCTTTTCTGCTTGGTCCCTAGGATTCTAGTTTTTTATTATTTTGTTTTATAGCACTATTTATATTTGCTTGCTTCTGTTTCTCCTCTCTTGATGGCTGAGGGGTGACGTGGACGTGAGAGGATTGATTCCTTTTTCATGTGGAGTATTTATTTT